ATTGTTATTAGTTCTCAGATAGCAGAAGTGGGGCAAGATGCAAGGATACCTGGATAAGCAACAGATCAGAAAACAAGGTGCCACTTATTAAACTGTTGTTGCTCAATTCCAAATCCACCCTTCCTCGAGAGTCATCTGATGCTGGGGCCAGGAATCTACAATTACATTTTTCCTTTTAAGGTGGCTACCTTCTATTTTGTGCCAGTAAGAGCACTAGGCAGAAGAAGTAGAGATTGTAGGGATTAGCTCCTTCTTGGTTGGCATATAGTTCCTGTAAGCAACATAGCTCTTCCACCTGGCAGCAGTAGTTGGTTTAAGTGGCAGTTGGTTCCAGTTTTTAGCTTCTTTCAGCCTCTGAGATCCGTCTTCTCAGAGATACCAGGGCAAGCCAGAGCTGGATGTTCCCCTTTTCCCTCTCTCTCCTCCCTCCCTTGCCCTCGCCCTCCCTCTCCCCTCATTTTCTCTCCCTCACACTGTTTTCTTCTAGTCTTTCAGTAACCATTTAAACAATTCTGTACATGAAATTATCTGTTAAAAACACTAGTGTACTCTTTGTTTTCCACACTGAACTATTACATAAAGCACCATAGTGGCTAGTTTTACCAATATATTATTAGTGGACGTGTGTGCCACTTCTGAACCACTTCTTTCCCCTTTCTCTCTCACCTTCCAGCTCAATTATACAAGGGTCATGTTGAAACCACATGTTGAATATAATGGAACCTCAGCATGGAAGGGGTTGGCCCCAGAATTTCTCTGTAGAGCAGAACCTCATACCCTCACACCTTCTTCTGCTGCCCAGGGTTAGTTTCTGGTTTGTGTCTGGGCACATGCGTGCACACTGGTGCACATACACAAAATAACCCTAACTGTTGAAAGACAACGAGATTCTGTATTACTTGTTTCAGCAGCCAGCATGACTTATCCTTATTAATGCAGAAAGTGATGCCAGAACTGGAATGCCACTGCAATAATATTCTTCAATGTGCAGCATTGTCCCAGTGATAGAATGGAGGATGACAAGACAACACATAAAATAAACTGGATGGCTCTTCATTCATTTGTCCAAATGCAAAATGTTTGATAAACCTCTTGGCTGCAGTAACTTGAAAAACAGATCAAATGATTACTGAGCTGGGGGAATAATGCTGACAGAGGTTTTTTTTTTTAAGTTTTTGTTTATAATTTTAATTTTTTTCTTTCTCCTACTTTCTTTATTTTTTTAAAACATTTTTTATTGATTTATAGAGATTGATTTATTTTAATATGTGTCAGCTGTCATAGGATCTGTTTGGCAACACATAAAGAAAAAAAGCCAGCCAGTTTAGAAGGAGAAATGCATGGATAAAGAGAAATCACATATTATGGGTTTGCAAGATTGGAAATATTGACAGCTGCTAGATATTGAATAACAGGAGATGCAATTTTAAAAGTTTTTTTTTTCTTTTTTGATGAAGACACAATGAGAAGTCTTTCTTCAGTAAAGTGATCACATCTGTAATGCCCTCTATTTAGGCCTCATCTCCTCAAGGCAGCTGCTATTAAGCCAAGAAAACTAGGAAGTGAGGAAAAGAAGGACTATCTGAGAATGGTTCCAAAATTTTTGGTGTGGTTGCCCACACATGAAACTGACTAGAAGTAAGTCGGAAAGCTAATAAGATTCTGAAGAAATCAAGTTGCTGAAGAACACTAGCCTCATTAAAACTTACTAATTTTTGACAAGCTTAAAATAGCTCTCAATAGGAAGTGGGCTACAAAATATATGGAGGCCCCAAAGAGAGCATATATCCCAACAGCTGTTCCTGACATGCCTGGGAAAAGGATAAATGTGGAAGAAGCTCTTGGAAGTTTGCTGTCTTTCCTCCAAAAGCTTGGGGCTTTTGATCCTTAAGGAAGAGATTCTTTAGATATCAATTAGTTCAGGCTACTTGTGTTGTTCAAGTCCACTATGTACACTTAAAAATTATTTGTCTAGTTGTTCAACTAATGACTGCAAGAGGGGAATGAAGTCAATAAGCTTAATTGTGGATTTTCCTATTTCTTCCACTAAGGCTGATACTTTCTGTACTGTGCACATTGGAGGCTCTCTTATGAGGTATCTTCACATTTAATATTAGTATATCTTCCTGGTGAACTGCTCTTTTTATCACTATAAAATGTCCCACTTTATTTTTGGATAACAATTCTTGTCCAGAAATCTTATGAAATCTTATTTGTCTAATATGTTTTCTTATTGTTACAGTGTGCATGCCGTATCTTTTTCTATCCTCTTGTTTCCAACTTACTTCGTAGACAGCATAGAATTCAATTCAATCTTGACTGTTTTGTCAAACCAGTCTGAAGTTCTCCGCCTTTTCATTGGAAAGTTTGATCCATTTACACTTAATGAGATTACATAAACAGTTGAATTTTTGCCTCCCATCTTGGTATTGATATATATTACTTCCATCTGTTCTTTGTTTCACTTTTCCTCCTTTCTTCTTTTTTTGTTATTTTTTTTTTAAAGAAGACCTGGACTTATTTGTTTTTAAAAAAATTCTTCTGGTAAGAAATGATTTAACATTTCACTTCCCCTTACCATGAATATTCTCTCATTCAACACATTTCCTTCAGTTTTATGTAAAAAGCATTAATTTATCCATCCTGGCATCTCTACCAATGGGATGCAGCTGAGGGAAGAAACTGCTGGTACACCATTAGCCATCCTCTACTTGCTCTACTCTTGTGTCAACATCCTTTACCTGCATTCATGCAACCATGTACTAATACCATACAATGTCAAAGGGAGTGGCTCATTTTATCCAACATTATGTCAGGAAATGTCACACCAAATTAAGTGCAGCTATATGACTACTAGCCAAGTACTTCTGTTAAAGAAAATGCAGTTAGCCTGGCATAGTTTAGAATTCCTGAAACTTTTTCCTCTTGTTTTACACATCCCCTAGGGACTACTTCACCTTCTTCCTGTGGCTTCAATGACCATTTGTTTGCTGATTGCTACCAAAAGTATGTATCTTGGTATATGTATATGTCATTCCTGAGCTTCACCCATATTTCCCAAAACCTCCTAGACAATCCCACTTGGATGAATGTAGGAACCACTAACAAGCCATATTCAAATAAGACCTTTGAACTTTCCTTCAAACCTACTACTCAGGTTCCATACTTCAAATAATGGATTGATCATCTACCTAGTTTTCCCAGCTAAGAATGTTACAGTCATATGGTCCCTATTTCCCCCTTATTTGTACAGCCAATTGATCTTTAATCCTCATTAATGCTACTCCTCTGGATCATTCCCTCTCATTTGTGCCTTATGATTTCAACAGCCCCTACCATGATTCACACCTTAATTCCTCACCCCTATCACATCAATCACATATTAACATGCATCTGTTTTCCACTTTCCAGCCTCTATCCCACCAGCATCAGCATTACCTAAAACTAGACAGAAACGCAAACTGGCAGGCACCACCCCAGACTGACTGTATCAGGAACTCTGTGAGTGCAGAGCAGCAATCCCCGGTGACTCTGAGGCACACTAAAGGTGATTTCAAACATTTTCTTGTTATTTTTAATGCCAATATTCCCCTTAATATTTACCTTAATTACTCTCTGTATTTGTGGAGTAAATCTAAATTTATCTTTGGCTCTTTATTATTACTAACAATTTTTTTGGCAAACACTAGCATCTGAATCAACATCAAAGTGTGCCCTGACACCAAAGATGACAACAAATGATCTACTCCAGCTGACAGCACACTATGACCCAGAGGCCAAACCCAACCTATCACCTGTTTCTATAAATAAGATATTATTGGAACACAATCATGTTTATTTGTTTGTGTATTGTCTATGATGGCTTTTATACTACAGTGGCAGAGTTGAAGAGTTACAACAGAAACCACATGGCCTGCAAAGCCTAGAATATTTACTAACTGGCTTTTTCCAGAAAAACGTTTGCTAACTGACACTGTTACCATGTATTCATTCAACATATATTTATTAAACATATGCTATTAATTAGGCACTGTTTTAGGCACTGAGGGTGTAGAGGTAAAAAATAGCCTTCTGCAATTATAAGACATATATTTGAACAGGTGGTAGTGGTAGCTGACAATGAACAAGCACACAAATAAATTATTAGTAAGATAACTTCAGAAAGTGATTTGTGCTGGGAAGAAGATACGTTGGATGCGATGTTAGAAGACGAACGTCAGGAGGCAGCACCGTCGGCTTAGCTGTCTGAATGCCCCTTGGAGGAGGCACCATTAAGCTAAGACCTCAATGAAAAGGATGAAATGATGACAAGGAAAAAGATGTACAAAGTTCTTGGGATGGAAAGGACTTGATTTGTCCTAAAAATAAAAAGACCAGTGTGACTGGAGTTAAATAAATGAGGCCCTGGATAAATGTTTCTGAGACTTCTGCTCAATGACAAGTTGTATTCCTTCATTTCCACTGTGTCTCACAGAAAGAAGTGATACTGACTAAGGCTGCTTAGTATTCTTTTGTGTTAATGATTTATGTTGCTTGCAGTGCAAGCATAAATAATTTTTACATCAATGGTGAGAAAATTAAGAACTTCTGATTAAGACAAACAAACAAAAAAAGGAACAGGATTTATGTCCCCTTCAGACGTGAGGTTGAAGTGTTGCTCCTTACTTGTCTCTACTTTGATCAGGCTGTTTAAGGTGGCAGAGGTTAAGTCAGACTTTAAAATTTTCCTCCCTTCAAACCTAGTGACACGAACAAGTACAAACAAAACCAAACAAACCAAAACCAAAAAACTTAAAGACTACCAGTGGGATAAAGAAATGAAAATAGCTGATGACTTGAACATGAACAAGAAATAAGTTTTAAGAATACATATAAATTTTCTTCTATAGTTTTTATGGGAAAAAATTCTGGAAGTAGGTGCATAGTCAGTGGATAGTGGTTTGTTGAGAAGAGAAAAATATGACAGTGAAAATTCTCATTAGGAACAACCACTTAGGTGCATGCTTTGGCAGCAGACGTACTAAAATTGAAAAGATACAGAGAAGAGTACCATGGCTGCTGTGCAAGAATGACACGAAACTTCATGAAGTAGTCCATATTTTTTTTAAATGGGCAACGGACTTGAACAGACATTTCTCCAAACATGATGTACAAATGGCCAAAAAGCACATGAAAAGATGTTCAACATTGCTAATCATTAGGGAAATACAAATTAAAAGTACAATGAGATATTATCTCTATACTTATTAGAATAGCTACTATTAAAAACAAAAAGAATAACCAGTGTGGTGAGAACATGGAGAAATTGGAACTCTTATGTACCAATGATGGGAATAAAAAATTGTGCAATCACTATGGAAAACAGTATAGATGTTCCTCAAAAATTTAAAAATAGAACTAACACATGATCCAGCAATTTCACCTCTGTATCCAAAAGAATTGAAAGCAGGATCTCAAAGAGATAGTTGCATAATCATTCAGAGCATTACTATTTGCATCAGCAAAAAAGTTGGAGTAACCCAAGTGTCTATCAATGGATAAATGAATAAACGAAGTGTGATATATACATACAATGAAGTACTACTTGTCAGCCTCAATAAAGGAAGGAAATTCTGATACATGCTATAATATGGATGAATCTTGAGGACACTATGCTAAGTGAAACAAGCCAGTCACAAAAAGACAAATGCTGTAAGATTCCACTTATAGGAGGTTCCTAGAATAGCCCAATTCAAAGAGACAGAAAGTAGAATGATGGTTGCCAGGGGCTAGCGGAAGAGGGGAGTGGTGCATTATTGTTTAACAGGTACAGAGTGTTCATTTTATAGAATAAAAAGAGTAATGGGGATGGATGGTGGTGATAGTTGCATGACAAAGTGAATATATACTTAACACTACTGAACTGTAAACTTAGACATGGTTAAGATGATAAATTTTATGTTATGCATTTTTTTAACCACAATTTACAAAAAATATCAACAACTTGTAGAGAAGAAGGAGACATTATGTCAAAAGATCAGAACAGAGCTTGGGATACAGTAGATCAGCTGTAAGAGCTAGGAATTGTTGACTTGTTAAGACCAGATTTAAAGGATTTATCACTTCTCAGATGGGGTGATGAGATGAAAAACACAGAAAATCTTGCCCCCTGCAACTGCTCAGATGGAAAAGACTAATTTAAAAAGCGCTTCCCCTGACTTTTAAGAAAGGGCAAATGCTAACTACTCATACACAGATTCTTCTCTTCCATGTTCAAGTATGTTGTGAGCCAGCAGCTTGAAATTAGCAAAAGGTAACCACACAGCAATGAATGATTTGACTCTTTTATGATTTAAAGATAATTTCATTCATATTTTCATTTGATATAGTATTATCAGCACCACTTCAAAGATAAGCAGAGGGTCAAGAGATTGAAGAACTATACATGGTAGGAATTACCAGGGGAAGAGTTGCATAATTGCATATTTCTGTTAGGTTCTAAATCTTGAGTACTTGATACTGCAACATCATGTTTCTTTTGTGTAAGTTCTATTAGAACAAATCTTCTTCATGCATCTATATATGCTTTGGAAATGCAGAGAATAAAACATACCAATTAACGGAAAGCAGCTATTTATAAACTCACTCAAACCATCTCCTTTCCACATGGCTCACCCAGAGAGTTCATTCTTTACTGCTTTTCTCAACATGGGTTGTAGTAAAAACAACTTCAGAAATAGCTATGCAGCAGTAGACAAAGCCCTGCCTTATATTCCAAAAAGATCTGAATTCATTACCTGGTTCTGCCATATGCTGCGTACATTAGTGTGGGCAAGATGCAATCACTGCAATTAAGTTTCCTCATCTGTATAATGATTCCATGTACCTTCTGAGTGCAACAGTTAAATGAGATAACATATGTGCAAGCACTCTAAAGAATAAAATTCCCTACAAATACAGGCTCTAATTATCATCGAAGTCCCCATAAATCTGGGAGGAAGTACCTTAAGCAAGATTAAGAGAACACAAAGAATACTTCTTAGAAATCCAAAAATTCAGGTCTTTCAATGCATTGTAAATTTAAATAAACATTCAGAGATTAAAATATGGGGATATGTCTTTAGTAATTTATTTTAAGAATGGTAGAGAAACAAGAGAGCTTTTCTGCCCCAGAAAGTTCACTGTTTTAGATCCTAAATTCTTATCAAGGAAATATTTCTTTCCTTATTTTATGCATAAGAATTATAATTTAGAATCACAGAATTTCATGGTCGAGCCTATAAATATTTGATTTATCTATAGCAATTAAATAGTGAAATCCTTGATTTTGATAGTTTTACTTAATGATGGAAGATCAGGGGCCAATCTGGATGTTAATCATTTCTGTAGGTAATTTTGATCAAGTTCTTACATTTTTATAACCTCATTTTCCTGTCTAAGTGTGGAATGGTTTGTTCCTGTCTTAGTTTAGATTCTACACAAACAGCACCAGAGGCATGGATCTAGGGGCAGATAGTTTATGGGGGAGGTAACTGCAGAAAGGACAGTGAGAAAGACAGGATAATGAAACAGGAAGGGAAGAAAGCAACTAAAGGAGCATCCCTGAGCCAGTTTCTGTGGCGAACACTTAAAGCTCATTCACCCCCGGGCTGTCCAATGAACCGCGTGGAATGCTTCTCCAAAATGATCCCTCCAAAGGGAGGAAAGCTGGGCCGTTAGTCCCAGGTGGCATCTGCATGATGGCTGAGTGGCTAAGGCTTTAGGGGTAAATCTGAAAGGTAGGAACGCAGGGAGCCACCACAGCACGCATTTGTGCAGAGGTACTGGCATAGTGCACACGAGAGGACCGACTGGGTGTGGTGTAGGCACGAGAAATGGCTCCTACCTTACTGGTTGCTAGGAAGACTAAGTAACTTGATGTAGATGTATTTAGGAGGGTGCCTGGCACATTGTAGAAACCCTAAGTGGCAGCAGGAGTTTTTACTAGACCAGGAGATTTGTTTATAGATACTACGAGTTGGTAAGGAGTTTGCTCTGCCCTCCCCCATGCTTACTCTTTTCCGTGCCTCTCCCCTCTATTGCTAAGTATATCTTTCTATGCTTCACATCCATATGTCTTTGCGGGACCATTATCACTCTTCCCTTACCATTGGCATTTTATAAAATGTATGATCTCATCTATGTTGTCTCATTTAAATGGCAATCCATTTGAGAAACAAGATCAAGTGCTTTATTCAATTCTGCATAATTGTGAGGAGCCACAACGATTTTATGTATAGAAAGATGTTTAATAAATACTATGCGTTTCAACCTGGCTATAAAATGAATGTCTTTCAATTGCCTCCACGGCTGAGGTTTACCAGTGTTTAAAACACATGGCCTTATTACTTCAATGAACATTCAAATTCATAGCTCCCATTAGCATTGCAGACGATTGCTGGCCTAGTTTTCCTGGATATTAATGGAAGTGCAGATCTTTTAATGAGCTTAGTACAGGGAGAATTTTGGTATTCATGTAAACCACTGCCCCTCTCTTAGCCTAGGGCTAGCTAGGGAACAGTCACCATGACAAACTGGTCAGATAACTTCAAAGATGCTAAACTGTCAGAAAAACCATTATCTATGACATAAACAACAAATGCATAGTCATTTTTTGGTGTATTTCAAGGCCAAATTTAATGTCTTGGATGTAAATTTCTCTTGGTGTCCTACTTCAGTGATCGCTCCATCTAATTCACTAATTATCTAATTCATTTTATTCCATTTTCTACCTCACTGATTTTTAATTTTAGGATAACATCAGAGCTCAACCTGGAAAGATCTTCCTCTCCATCAATCTACATTCACTTTCCAGCCCTCTCTTCTCTCCTAAATTTTAGGTGCATAGAAGTTAATATGTTCTCAATATCTCCACTTTGATGGTGTGGTAAATTATTTTTTTAAAAACCCACCAATTCTTCCCTGATTTGCATACCTTTGCAATGTGACCTTGATGGCCCTGTCAAGAGGTGGAATTTTCTTCTTTATCCCATTGGATCAGGATTGAACTTGTGACTTTATTTGACCAATTGTATCAGTAAAAGGGACACCTATAAAAGCTGCATGCTGAGAACACAGAAGACATCGAAGATTCAACTCCCCTCTTGTTGCCCTGAAATTTCCACACACATACACAAGATTTATGCTAGCTTATTGGAGGACAAGACCAAGTGGAGAGTGACTCATCCTATTTGAGGTATCCTAGATCAACCAGATCCCAATTAATCTCAAAGCCTATTTCAGCCACATGAGTGATGCCAGTTGAGGCCAGCAGAAGTACTCAGCTGAGCTCTGCCCACATTCCTGGCACAGACAGTCACAACCAAATTAGGCACTAAGTTTCATAGTGGTTAGTTACATCATGATAGGTATATGATAGAGATGTTGAGAAGATATTGCTAATGTAACATATACAATAGTCAGGTCAGTTTTACCTTGGTTTCCCCCCTTCAACCTACTACTTTACAGTTCAGTTTCCCTTTTAGAATTGGTGATTTCAATCTTCTAATTCCTCAGGCCAGAAATCTTACAGTCATCCTTGCACCCTTTCTTCCCCACACGTCCAAACCATTAACAAATCCCATTGGCTTTCCTTAATATCCCAAGTTGGAGCCCTTCTCTCAATTCTCCATTGCTTATATCCTGCTTCAAAGCAGTATCATCTCTCAGTCAGCTGGCTGCAGTTAATTCTGAATTCTTTCCTGAATTGCTCCCCTGCAATCTATTCTCTGTGTAGCGGTAAGAACAATTTTTTAAAATCGTTAAGTATCAGGTCCCTTTCTGACCAAAAATCCTTCACTGAAACCAAGTTTATTTTGTGCCTCAAAAGTTTCACACACAATTGCCATATGACCAGGCAATTCCTCTCTTGGGTATACATCAAAATAATTGGAAAACAAATGATCAAACAAAAACTGTCCATGAATATTTATGGCAGCACAATTCACAATAACTAAAAAGGTAGAAACAATCCAAATGTCCATCAGCAGATGAATGGATAAACAGGATTGTGGTATATCCATGCAATGGAGTATTTTAGCCATGAAAAAGAAATGAAGTGCTGACTCATGTTACAGCATGGATGG